AGCCTAAGGTCCCTCTTACATAAAGCTTGGACGCCTACAAGCTTTACAGACCCGAGGAGACTTCCTGCAGCTGCTGTTTGTGTTTGGGCTGTCTTTGGGCTGCCTTCCCTCTTCCTCAGTTTTATCAGCCTGTGCATTTTTTTGGCAGAAAGGGAGAGGGGCCCGACCTCCCAATCCACGGCCACCACCATGCAGAGGTGCTCCCTACGAGGGTGGTGAACTGTCTCAGTTGGAGTCCTGCTTCCCAACCTGTAGCATGGCCGGATCATGCTCAGACTTTCCCTAAGCTGGAAAGTGGCGGGAAGAGGCCGAACGAGGCACTGCTGTGCTGTGGCCTCAGAATCCCACCGTTGTCCCGTCCCAAGTCTCCATGTTTAGAAAGCAGGGATAATGGCCTTTTGCCTCTGCAAGGCAGTTGTCAGCCTTTATGCTGTCCCATGACTCGGGTATGTTTTTCCTGTGGTGCCTCCACAAGAGGCAGTCTTTTTTGTTTTTGTTTTTTTTTGAAAGAGAGTAGTTAAAAAAAAAAAGAGCAATAGCAACACACCAACATCACAGACACAAACAAAACAAAGCAAGAACATTAAAAGTAATACAGGGTTTCAAAACAAAAGTGATAAGAATTAACAGTGGTTGTTACATTACACATTGTTATCTTCAACTACCTTGCTCAGTTTACCAGATGTAAGAGGCTAAGGAGAGTGGCCAGGCTGCCTGGGGTGTAGGGGTGGAGGGAGTGGAAGGGGAAATATGGCTGTGTTTTGGGGCTCCCTTGCCTTCTTAGGGGTATGGGGAAACGACATTTGCTGTGTGGGGTTAGTGCGTCTCCTCTCCCCATCTCTTCCCCCCCGGGACCTTGATACCCTCAGCAGAGCCATGCAGAGTACAGTGAGGGGCAGAAAGCTCTACACTGTGATGACTATGCCGAGGCACTGTCTAACCAGCATTTCTGGCCGGATGAACGTCATCCTTATTCCTAGAAGTGCTAGACTGGATATATGTGCTTTTTCCAATCAGATGGGCCACATCCCATGAAAGGAAATACATACGATGATAAGAATTCCACTCAGCGCCTTCCCTGGCTGCTCCAGCACCCCCATGGATAGCATCATGTGTTTATTTCTCTTGTGTGTGTTGAGGGGGGTGGGTTTTATTACTCCTGGTTTCAGACCAGTAGACTTAGATTATTTTCTAAAATCTAGAAAGGACCTCTGCTTAGTTTTTCTTGTTTGTTCTGTTTAACTTTTTAAAATTTATTTTATTTTATTTTTATTTTAAAGAGTAAAAGAAGGATAACATAATAATGGGGGGACTTAGCAAATTACAGACAAAATGGTAGGAAATTATCAATGGTTATCATTTTACATATTATTATCTACAAAATAGTTTCTCAGGAAAACAAATAGACAAATAATAGTGAGTTAGAGACAAAAGAGGTAGGAGATTATCAAGAGTTT